TCCCTTGTCTCCTCCCCACTGGTCCAAGGCTCAGGCACCACCTGGTGGCCAACCAGCCTCTCTGCACCCTGCTCGGAGTCGGAACCCTGTCCAGGATCCTCCAGAGCCGACTCATAGGGCCCCTCGTTGTCGGAGTCTGGTGGCAGCTCCAACGGCTCCTGCTGGGCCACAACACGTATCCTATATGCTTCGGTCCTTTTTTAGAAATAATGGCATGTATAATTAAAAAGTTGAGAAAAATAGTGGCTGATGTATTCATAGGGAGTGTTTGAAAATAGTCATAAACCATGAATGAACAAGATTACTGGTGGATATCTATCAATGTCATTTTTCAAAAATTGCAGACTGTTTCTCATTATTCTCTAAACAATTAGAAAATAATGTAAAGCAAGTGATATAAATGAAGAGTTGTTACATTTAGGTACCTTACTGGCACATGTGACTTGGCTTCCAGAGTGTATTCAAATACTTTGAATCTTTCCAAGGTTCGCCTGAATGCAGAAGAATGCGCAGATGTTTTGAAGCGTTGGGTGGATCATCTTTGTTCTCCACAAATCAATCAAAAATCCAAGGCAATACTTGTTCTACTTTCCCTGGGTTGTTTCATGAGAGTGGCTGAGATGTTACATAGGTCAGTTCCTTTTTATTTAACAACATAAACCACTCCTCTGTATATTTTGCACTTAAAAAAATAACATTTAAAACATACAATATCAACTCGATGCAACCTCTTGAAAATCAAAACAGAAGCCATTTAAATGTCTGTCTGAATAAAGGTACCTGTCAGTTCAATTTTCAATTTCAATTTATTGAAATTTATATGCCGCCCACTCCCTTGGGACTCTGGGCGGCTTACAAGCATAATAAAAAAGACATTTAAAATAAAAATAAAAACACAATATTAAAATTCTACAACATCCATTCTGTCAGAGTGGGGCTGGATACCAATCAACAGCCCCAGGCCTGCCGGAACAGCCAGATCTTAGTGGCTTTACGGAAGCCCGGGAGAGTGGTAAGGCTCCGGATCTCTGTGGGTAGATCATTCCACAGGGCCAGC